AGGGTGATGTGACCCTTTTTGTGGGTATTTATAGAGAGCTCCTGTCTGTGCTCCTGCACTCTGAAGATGCCAGTCACAGGTGCTGGCGAAACGTTAGGAAACAAAACTTCCAGAACACGGCCACACAGCCTGGAAGACCCACACCAGCCATCGTATGCTGGCCATGAAAGCCTTCGACAATACATACTCCTTCCATCTTAACTTGATTGCCTTTGAATCAGTTATTATCTATTAGTGTTCTTTAGCATACCAATTTGAGGTTCAAACCTCCTTCTGAGTTCAGAGTTCTTTGAAAGACTTTCCTTGTTTTTCTATATCTGTTTCCATCTTCACTTTCTTTACAGATGTTGTAATACTGCTTGTCTCTTCTAACAGCTCACTGAAACTCTTGGTTAAGCTCCTTTCTGAGATGTTTGTCTTTCTTGGCTTTGGTTTCTCTCCTCTTCTTCTTGGCAATTTCCACCATTTGTTCTGACATTCAGTTTGTTTTGTTCTGTTTCTTCATCTTTAGCAGTCTCTTTTCTCATACTTAACAACTTCTTTGAGTTCATTCTCTAGTTCTCTATCAATAAGGTTCAGGACTTCAAAGCAATTCCTGATGTTCTCCTTGAAAATGGTGGGTATATGTTCAATATTACATTGTGAAAACTGACTGCTTTCTCTTCTTTAGCTTAACTTGAAACCTGCACTGAGTAGTTTATGATCTGTTCCACAGTCAGCACCTGGCCACATATCTGATGCTATAACTGAGTTCCTCCACCTCCTTTTCTGCTGCACCAGCTGCAGCCTTTTTGAATACTAACTCTCATTACTACCCATTTGTGATGGAATGGAATTACGAAGGCCAGGCTCAGGGAGATAAGCATTTTCTTAGCTCGCCGCAGGAGTGTGGAAACTACAAGAGGATGAGACTGGCACCTCCCTGAAGAATTCACACTGTTGTGGCTGCCTGACTTGGGACCTGGGGTTTCTGTCTGGGAAGATTCTTGCTAGAGGTTGTAGCTAATAAACATAGCTGACCTGATTTTGCATTGTCTCTTGGAGTTCCTTGGGCTAGGCCTGGAACTCCAAGGCATACACATTTGGACTACTGTATTGGCTGTACATGGGTCTGCCTTTAAAGGACAGTCAGAAGCTACAATTGGTCCAAAACACAATGACCCAGGTGATATTTGGCACCCATCATTGGGCAAATACTACTCTAGGACTTCAGGACCTGCAACTTCCAGCTGCAATTTAATGTGCTTGTTTTGATCTATAAAATCCTTTGAGGCTGAGCTGCTGTTTGTGCAGAAGTCATCTCATTCCAGGACAGCACCAACTTTGGCTCTAAAAACTACATCTGAAAAAGCAGGTAGACAATATGGGTGCTATTCTAGACTCACAGCTCCTCCTGGAGAAGCAGGTGGTAGCTGGGGTCAGGAAAACATTTATCTAGCTTCAGCTGGTGTGCCTGTTACAAACTTTCCTGGATCCAGAAGCTTTGCAACAGTAACTTGCGTTTTTATCAACTTGCAGTTGGATTACTGCAATTCAATTGATATGGAACTGTCCTTGAAAACAATTCAGAAGTTTCAAGTGGTGCAGAATATAATCATATGTGTGCTGACTCCTAGAAGCCATACAATAGGATAATACCAATCTTGCATTAGCTGCACTGGCTACTAGTAGGCTTCCAGGTCCAATTCAAACTGCTAGTTATTATCTATAAAGACCTTTATGGCTTGAGTTCTTGATATCTATAGGACAATTTTCTCCAAGAAGAATGTGCAGGGCAAAAAAAGGATGCTGCAATTGCCTCCCCCAGCTGATATATTAAAGGAACAGGAACTTAGAAACAGACATTCTTGATCACAGCCCTCTCACTCTGGATCAGCTTGCCTTTCCCCTTCTTTGTTATCATTTTGAAATCATCTGGAATTTCTCAGTTAGAGTCCATATGAGGCTTCACTATCATTGCAGATGGTATCCACAGACTTACCTTCTGTTTTTCCATTTTTCAACATATGAACTAGACCAGAATTTTCCATTTCCACTATGGTCTTCATATGCTTAGAAATAAGCTCCCTCTCAACAACTTTGACAATTGGCTCTTCAGTTGATTTATCAAGGCAGTGCATCACACGTTCTATTTCTTCATTAATTCTAGCTTCTACTTTCTTTATGTAAACCGAAGCACTATTTTCTGCTAAAAATTTCTGACTTTCCATCTGTAATAAAATAAAGCAGAGGCAAATGGAACACTACAGAAACTATGAAACACTACAAAAAATTAATCAGAACCATTATTTTCCTCTTAGCAGTAATTGATCAAGTGACTAATACCTATTGATCATCACCATACCTATTGTGTTAACTTTATATTTGCTATGCATTAATGTCAGCTGAGACCAAGGCTGAGTGAGCATAGCCTCATGTTCAGAGCAAAGGGAAAACTGAAGCATGAACCACCCTCCATTAGGTGCCAACAACAATTCTCCAGACTGGTATTTATTAATCTGGAAATCAGTAACAGGAATTTGTAAACTTTTGGGAGGATCCATCTTATTACCATTTGTAAATACTGAAAAGCAATATTATACCTGAAAGAATTCTGCTGACATCTCTAGAAATGGAGCTTCGAAGTCTTCTTCATAGACTGATCTTCCTTCAAGGCCTAAAATCATTAACATCTGGCAAGCATTTCTTATTGCTCCTCTGTCAAAACAGTAAGATTTGCAGGTTAGGTTCATTTTAGTGAAAATTAAATTATTTTCACTAAAATTATTCAGTAAGAGTTACCTGTATTATTTCCAACCCTATTCCATGTCTGAGTTTAACACAAAAATAAGTGTTACATTTATCAAACTTTCAATTAATTAAAGAGCTAAAACAGCACTGAGAAAGGCCTTTTTTATTATCATCCTAAGGTAATAGTATACAATGCTTACCAAAGCAAAAGAAAAAAGAAAAAGGCTATCGCTGTCAGTTTTCGGAAAACCACTTACCCCCAACTTCTATTGGTGTGTGTTTTGGAAATCAATTCATTTTACTTCTGAACAATAAATTGACATAAGGCTTCTGGATACAATTGAAGGTGCTGAAACTCCTACATGGCATTGGGCCAGGTTACTTGCAGGACTACCTATCCCCAATTGTTTCTGCCCATCCCACCAAATCTGGCAGAATGGTCATGCTTTGGGTCCCCTCACTGAAGTAGTGTAACCTGGTGGGTCCTTGGAAGCATCCCTTCTCTGTCATGGCACCTGCCTTATGGAACAGACTCCCTTCAGAGATAGCAACAACTCTGACCTGTTGGCTTTTTGGAAGGCCATGAAGTCTTGGTTCTTCCTCCAGGCACTGGGGCCAGGAGGTTAATTCACTGGAACTCTGGAGTGGATGCATGTAAATTGTTTGAAATGAGATTTCTATGGGGACTTCAAGTTGTTTTTTTTTCTTCAACAGATTGGATATGCTTTCATTCTTTTGCTGCCCAGAGCTCCACTAGTAGATGGGTAGCCAGATAGACAGACAGACAGACAGACAGACAGTCAGAGACTACTAAATCTGAATCCAATGGTTATTATGCTTTTTAGCTACCACAATTTAGTTAGGAAGTGGAAGTCCTCGTCTCAATTGCTGTAGGCATTATGAACTCTCTAAATGTCAGGTTGGCAATCTAGTCCCTGAAAACATTTTAACAGCCCTCAGACCTCCCTCATAATAGGCCAAAACAACTAAAATGCCAGAGATGAAAAATGAAATATGAGATTGAACAAAATGCCAATAAAATCTAATAGCAAGAAAATGATTCATGAGTTAAAAAAACACAACAATTTATCTAAAACAATGTCAAATGTAATTCATTTGTGGAGACATACCTATCTACCACTTCTCCTTTCCGTTCCCTTGCAATCATGTCCAACAAGGTCTGTCGGAGATGATCTCTAATGCACCCGTACCGTACAACTTGATCTCGAAAGATTATTAATCCCAAATTGTAGACATTTTCCACATTGTTTTGTTGTACATACACGCGGTCCTAAAATCAAAGTACAAATACAAATACAAAGCTTCTGTTCAATATATCTATATAACAGAAGTTTATCTATACTTGAATTACTTAAACCTGCTTCAGCACATCTCTACAATGTGCTTTTTATCCAGTTTCTTATCAAAAGACCCTTCAATATTATCAAAATTACTATTACATTTATAGCAAAATGTAAACTGGATAAATGTATTAATCATTAATGAGTTGAATGCAAACCAAGTTATACTTGGAATAGGCCTACTGAAATCAGCTGGACTTAAATTAGTAACGAGTTTGCTGATTTCAAAACATAAAATCTAGATTAAACTGGGCTCCCACCCGTTATTTACAATGTATATAAACGTAACATATTTAAGTTCTTTCAAACAGAACAAAACATACAAATGACTTTATATGTATGAAATTATAACATAATTGATTAAAAGGCAATAAAAAGTGTAAAATTGTGTTTTATATGCTGCAATCAGAACTGCAAAAAGAGTGACTACTTGGAATCTTTCAAAGAGTGACCATTTGGAGTCCTTTGGAACAAGGCTAGCATTAAAGTGCAACATTTTCAGGCACTGTGTGTACTAAGCAAAAGGAACTATGTACAAAACATTATAAAATAATGCTACAGGCTACTTACATCCACATTTAATAATCTAATTTATTAGAATATGAAAAATGGGGAAATATCTTGAATATAGTGCTTTACAGTTTCAAAGCCATGAATAAATAAACTGGATGGTGCATGTTCTCCTGTTAATCAGGTAAATGACAAATACTTATACAGAATGGTAACAGTGTTAGTTACTAGGGTTGTGCAATGATCTGGATTTGAAAAGATGTTCTAGCCTATCCATAAATGCGAAGATAATTATCTAGAAGCACATCCTTAAGTCAAAGACATCTTTTTCCTGGAATGAGTACAAACCTAGAAAAAGATGCAGCTTCTTAAAAAACTGTTGACAAGTACAACGTGGGTACTCCCACACACTCCAAATCACTATTTCCTTTTCAAATCTGAATTACTAAGAGCTTTACTAGTTGTAATCCCAACCTCAATATTATACTTAAAGGGAAAAACTACTCCCTTGTATTTCATTGTATGTGGAACTACTACAGCACTACAAATGTGGAATGCTCCTCCAATACATTCAAAACTTCCAGGCTGGGAATAATAAAAGCTTAACACTGAATTTATATACCAGGTTTTGCAAAATTCTTTGTTTCTGCAATCTTGGAGCAGTATTCTTTTAAATTAAAACAAAACAGAGGAACAAGACATAACCTGGGTTGATTAAAACAGAACAGGTATCTAATTAAGTGAGACGACTTCACACGCAAATTATGAATAATTTCAGATGGTGGAATCCACACCCAAGGAAGTGTGGTTAGCTCCAATTTTCTCAGTTAGGAAAACAGCAAAAAACTATCTCTTCATTCAGCCATTTAATTTTTAATTATTTCACTGTTATTAATTTTAAGTTTGGAGTTATGTGCATTTATTGTTATGAGCTTTTTCATTGCTACATGCTGTCTTTAGTGTTGGCATGCACAAAAATAGATAATAGATATAAATTCAGAAATATCAAACAGTATGCAATAACAAGGAAGTATGAAAAAGCACATGTGAAATAATGTATTTTTAAAAGCCAGATAAATGACAGAAACAAAAGTTTTTTTTTCAGAGTATCAGTTAATTATGTCAATTTGTATCAATTTTCCCACATTATGAATATGGAACAATTTTGTTTTTTTAACTGACCATTTTTGTAACAAGAATTTCAGATTTTACTTACCATATACATCAGAATATCTCTAATCATCACCATTGCTGTCTGGTGATCATTCCATGCTTGGTTTAATGTTTGAAGAAAATTGTTATTTAATGAGTTTAACACATCTTCTCGCACCTGCAACAAAATATTTAATGGAATAAATTGTTTAATATAGATCAGAGATGGGCAATTATACCCTGCCTTATCTAGAATGGGTGAGGCCAAACACTGTGGAGTTTTGGGAGGTGGGTGGGGGAGGTTTTAAGGGGTAAAATGCCAGAATAGGGAATAAAATATTTTTCCTATCCTGAATTCATTAATTAGATAGTTACACAGAGAGAGCAAATGACAGTTAACAGGACCCCTTGGTATCTGAAGCAGGAAAACTCTCCTCTAATGACCTGAAGGAGTCTGCTTTTCTGACAAATAGACAAATGAATACATTTCACAACTAATGTAGGACTACTGCTCCATCAGCCATTTCATTTTTCCTATTACTTTCCTTCTGAACATGAAGGGATGAGAGGAATTTTAAAAAAGAGTAGAAAAAGGAAGTATCCACTTCACAGGCAGCTTCACCACACCATATGAAATATGCTTTTGGCCCTAAAGTCCCCATACATTTCATTTAACTCTACCTCTCTAATCCCCAAGCAGTCAAACAGGTTTGGTTCAGCTCCCTACACTGCTATCCTACTGATTGCCAAAAACCACTTGTGGCCAAATAACTATACAGGTAGTACTCACGTAATGACCACAATTGGGACTGGGAGCTCAACCGCTAAGCGATGTGGTCATTAAGCGAGACATCACATGACCGCATCCTGTGATTTTACTGCCAGCTTCTTCATTCTGCTTGTCGGAAGCAGGCTGTGAAGTGTGAAAATGGCAATCATGTGATTGTGAGATGGTGTGATGGTCGTAAGTGCGAGGACTGGTCATAAAGTTACTTTATCAGCACTCTCGTAACTTCAAATGGTCTCTAAACAAGGCAGTTGTTAAGTGAGGACTACCTGTAGTAGAATGGCTGAGATTTATTTCTTAGTGTGTACATGCTACATCTCCAAATCCTAAAGTCACACTAATTGTGCTTCTCAAGACCAAGTAGTTGAGAGCAAGGGGGGGGGGATGTTGTCACACTGTTTTTTTTCTTTTTTTTTAATTGTTGCACAAGCAAAGTGGGAACACTGTAAAACTCACACGTGACCATTCTGTGAGAATACCATATCAAAATTTCACATGTGCCAACCATCTGAAAAGGACTGAAAACTCTCCACTATAGTTTTTCAATGCCAGAAATAAATTATAGTACAACATATATTCAATCACACAGTGCCATTATCTGTGAACAATGCTGGAATGTAATTCGGATTTTTTTTTTCCATTCTATTCTGTTATAACATCAAATTCTGGCTCACGGCACAAACACATACTTGCCATACAAAATTCTCATGATAAAGTTACACATCTGATATCAGCAGAACAACCTATTACTTCTGACCTCACAGATATTACAAAATTTAACTCTACTTGCAGCTGAAATGCTCTAAACATACTCAATAGTTACCAATAAATATTAGTACAGTTTAATTCTTTACCTGAATCCCTTATTACTTATCAAGTTCTTATATTTTACCTACTTATCTGAGGTTTATGCTTTCCAGACAATCAGCAATATCATGTACTTTGAAGCCCATCAATGATTTGGTCAGCAAGCACAAAAAGATCTAAGCTCTTTGACTTTTTCCACAGTCATCCATGTACGAGACACAATTACAAGCTTTAAATTTTGTTTTATAGCAAATCATCTGCTATTTCATACAAATTTGGCAAACCATATTTTTCTGAATACAAATAATTTAAAAAAATGGTTTGCTGCAAACCAGAACTAGAAACTTCAAACCTCGGTATAAACAAAGGGGAAAAAAAAATTGCAAGCCTGATACTAGACCACTTCTGCTCATAAAGCAAAATACTATTTTGGGCTTTTTTCCCCTCAGCATAACCAATATCTCAGGTTATGTTAACCTATACAACCGGATGACTTACCTAGATAATAATGTAATTGTTAATGTAAATTATGTAAAGCTATAAAACACTCTAAACTTAAATATGATTTATAAATAGTTTATGCTAATAATAGTTACATTATATATGAAGGAGATCCTAGAAAGATTTGCTATTTTTCTCTTTCAGCAAACATGACAGAAAGCTGTCATCACCAACTACATAAAAGTTTTGCATAAGATTCTCTAAACAACAAACGGACAATTCGCTGGAAATGTAAAACCCAGCATTAACCCAGTATCCCATCTGTGGTCCCTAGTGCCCCACTGGAGCGTGTAGGGCCAAAAAAGCTAACTTTTTGTTGTATTTAGGGTATTAAAAGGGTAAAACGGATGTCTTAAACTTTGCAGAAGTTTAAATATGCAAAGCACCCCTTAAAAATCCCTAAACTTCATAAACTGGGCTAATTCCCCCCCCCCATTTTGAGGAGCTTAAGATACCAATTCTATCCCTTAAATTTCCCCCAAAGCAAAACAAAAAGAAAGCAACAAAAAACAGATTCCAAAATTTCAGCCCCTTCATCCATCAACATCATACTGTCATCACCCACACTCTTCATTCTCCAGGCAGACAAGAAAGTAGAAGGCACCCCAGGCCAAAGTATACCCATCTCTTTTCTAAAGACAGTCAAATGTTCAAAGCAGATATCGCTTTCTATGTTTTCAGTAAATATTATTGCATTCAGATACCTTATTTATAAGATGCTCAGTAACCACTTCTCGTAATCCAGTGTATAATTTCTCTCCATGTTTATGTAATACCATAGTATATGCATTCCTATACAGTTCCTCAAAGCTGAGACCACTGTTGTTCTTACGCTGAATTTCTTGGATTGCATTTTTCAGTAGATCCCAAATGCTGTTAACATATTTTTCATCCATGGTCATCTGTATGCGGACATAAAAAAGTAAAATTAAGAGTTTATTGGTGTCAGATTTTCAGAATATATTTCTTCTAGAACAGATTAAGGACCAATATACCTAAAAGGTAGATGCTGCTGCATTTAAGAGAAACATCCCAAAAGAAAGATTGAATTGGGGGAGGGGGGAGATAAGTACAGACAAAATTCCTGTAATACTGCCCAGCTTCCCTACCTTGTCAATTATGGTTCCCAAAGCCACTGAACCCAGTCTTGGAAAACTTTCCCCTCAATGTATGTTGCTTTCTTGAATAAGCATATGTATACATACGTGTGCCATACTCCAAAAAAGAGCAGGATCAGGACAAAATTTTAAAATAAATTGTATTAATGTCTATTGTATAAAATTGTCTGTAAAATAACTGATCCCATTTTCATATCCAGACAAACCATTCTCTCAACATATAACTATGCATTTTTACATAGAAAAAATATTGCAGAAATATGGATTTAGCTAGCATGAAACTAGAAATATTTTGTGTGTCATAAATTCCAATGAGCTCAATTATTCTTTCTCTGTGATACATATGCATAGACTCTGCTGTGCTGGGGACTCCTTAACTGGGATTGGTTTTTAAATGATAGGACCAGATAAATTTATCTAGATTCAGAAGCTAACGAGGCCTGACCAAGGCCTGGCCAGTACTTGGATTACGTTGGCTAGACAGATAATTTGAAAAATCATCCTAGAAGACAACAATGACAAACTATTTCCATACTGATGCCTAGAAAACTATGCTATATAGTCAATCAAGCTTGACTTGGAGATTTTATCTTCTTAAACTGGGGAAGAAACTGGTCAAGACATTATTGAGGTATTGAGCCATTTTTTCCCTTCTTCTGGCAACAGAAGAATGGGTTGAATGAAGTTCCTCTGAAGGCCATTTGCTGGGAGACTAGTGGGTTTCCTTGTACAGTGGGTTGACCACTGTGAGAACAAACTGCTGGACAAGATGGGCCAGGGATCCAATCCAGCATGGCACTGCAGCTTATGTTCTTATGCTTACATTCTCAGGTTCTTACAAGATACAAACACAAGGAAACATATGAATATTTATTTTGCATTAGATCCCACTGAGTGCAAAGGCTTTTACAGGTAGTTCTTGCTTAACAACCATTCGATCAGTGACTGTTCAAAGTTATGATGGTGCTGGACGAATGGTATTTACGACCAGTAGTTATGCCACTGCAGCACCCTGCAGTCACATGATCAAAATCTGGGCACTTGGCAGCCCGCCCACATTTACAACTGCAGGGCGCACTTCAACTTCCCCCACCTGCCTATCTGGCCCCCACCTCTGCCTTTTGGCCACCCTGCCCTCTGCTGCCCCTCGCTGTCTCCAGCTGACCTTCGCTGTCTTCTTCCTCCCACTGCTGACAAAGTGTGCCTGGCCAAGGCAGCTGCTGACAGCACGAGGCCTCTGTGCAGCCTTGCACAGCCGCCCTGAGGGCTTGGGAAGGGTGCACTCAGTCAGCAGCTGCCTCGGGCCAGGCCGGGCACACCTTATCAGCAGGAGGAAGACAGTGAAGGTCAGCTGGGGGCATCAGAGGGCGGGGTGGTGGGAGCAGTGAAATGCAGGACAGCCAAAAGGGCAGAGATGATGGGGGAGATAGGTGGATGGGTGGAGTTAAAGCAGGGGTGAGCACAGCACAGCAGGGCAGGAGAAGTGTGAGGTCCTGGTCTAATGAAGGTGTGGTCCTGTCCTAAGGACCACAACTGGGACTACCAGAATTGCCGTTGCTGAACGGTAGTCACATGATGCTTCGCCCAATGACTGTTTCGCTTAGTGACAGAAATTCCAGTCCCAATTAGGGTTGTTAAGTGAGGACTATCTGTATTCTTCAAGTAAGTATGGTTAGGATGGTTAACCCTCTTCCATTGTTGCTCCTTATCAGCTGGTATTTATGGGATTTTGATTGTGATCCCAGAGTTAGCAAACAGGTATCCAAATTAGCCAGTCATCCCCTGATCTTCCAAGAATTTGTTTTCTGCTCTTTCAAAATCATTTAAATCAATGCCCATTATAATATTTCATACCAGTAAATCCCAGTTTAAATATGCATTGTGTAAAAGAAGTATTTCCGTTTACTGGTCATGAATCTCCCTGATTTATTTTCAGTGGATGATCCCTAGTTGCAACACTGAGAGAAAAAAATCTCCGTACCTACACTATCCATTTTATGGTTTTATATATCTCTCCCACATTACTCTTCACCTTCCTCACTGAGAAACAGCTGTTCTAGCCTCTTAATTACTTTAGCTGCCTCCCTCCTTTTGCATCTTTTCTCACGCTACAAAATCTTTTCTGAAGTGTGATTGCAACATCTATCCATAGTATTCCAAATATAGTGTCATCATAATATATAAATGAATATACTGGCTGTTTTATTTTTAATTCCCTATCCAATAATCTCAAAAGTGTAATTTGCCTTTTTATGTACTTTTTACTAAGATCAGTCAGATATAGTTCATGTATGGATACAATAATTTTTTTGCTCCTCCTACCAGCACACATTCTCTTTACTTCAGCTTTTTTGTAAACAGATTGAACAAAGAATTCTGTACATTGCCTACAGTTCAATTTCAACTAAATCAGGAAAGTCTGGTTCCCAACTTTAAAACAGAAGAGAATCTAGTCAGATTTTGAAATGGGCTGAAACTTTTCTGAAAGTGACTAATATTTCCAATTAAACTAAAATGGCAACTATTTGTTGATTATAGATTTATTCACTGAATTTAGCAATAGCAGAAAGAGAAAACAAAGGGGCTGTATGTACAAAAAAGGGGGGTTTATTCACATTAAGAGGAAATACAATCACTCAATCCATGCTACAGAATCAATGTTGAATAAATTGGTATTAAGGGTGTATTTATTCTTTCTAAATCCCCTACTTTTCAAGCAGGTTTACACTTCAAGATAAAATTATAAAGACAACTAGAAATCCTATGCTGAATACAGAAATCCATAGCAGCACACTATGTTGGCACTGAAAGGCTATTGGAATAAGTTCCTAAAAATACAGAGTATGTGGTTGTTTTAATTATTATGCCTTCAGAAGAGGTTTTATGGTACTATATAAATATTTAATTTCTGGATGGATCAAGAAGCAGCAGGCTGCCAATGGCTAAAGAACAGGCACATAGTCTCATTACTTCTTCACTGCCATGTTGATAGCAACTTGACAACATATTTTATTAAAAGACATGGAACATAATGCTGTAACCCCAATTTGAAGAGAATTCAAAATCATAGTGATCTTGTCCAAGTCAACTGATTTTTTATAGTAATATCTCAAGTATCAACATTAAGTATTTCAGTAAAAGATACTTGTTTGAAATCAGACATTATGATAGAAAGGTGGGAAATGCTTTAATTTAGATTGAATCTTTGTGGCTACTTGCCTTTTAAATTATTTAGAATTTTTCTTCAGGAATTTTGTAAAAGTTATTTTACAAAGGTAATAATGTTTTAAACTGAAGAATGTAAGAAGTAGAACGTACAGGATTCCTCAGAAGATTACAAAGATATGCCCAAACCCCTCTGCTTATATTAAGATACATGAATTATGGATGAACAGAGAGTGAAATCAGAATCCAGTTTTGGTATCTACCTTTGTGTAAAATGGTGTAAAGAAAACCAGGACTATTTTTACCACGGTTTTCTGAAGAAGCCATAGTAATTGGTTCTTCCATTACACTAAGTCAATGGAATGTATTATTAAGTCATAATGAGCAGGTTCAAACACCAGAGTAAACTAAAATAAACAAAACACATGAAGACCACAACTAATTTCATATACATGCGCACATGCACACACAAACACATTTTATTATTTGTATATATCTAAATGTCAAAATAAAAATACAACATATTCCATATGTATTCCATTAATGTACAAACATCAAGGATAATCAAGGAATCAAATGCTTAATGTTAACTAACTAAACAATGGAAATATAGTATTCATTTTAAAAGTCAAACACAAAAAAATAGCTGAATGGTGATGCAATACTAAAATATAGTTTAGAATCAGTTGCTGGTGTGTTTCCCTCCCCTAACACAGCCATGGGATATCAAAAACTTTTGCTCCTTTTTTTATTCAAACATACTTTGATATTTATAACCAAAATGGGACAAAATGGTGTATAATGAATATGTGTCTGAAAATGAAAACTTCAAACCAGGGTTTATAACCCTGGCCTGGTTACATAATTAAATTAAAACTATGTGCAGTTTCTTTTTTCAGACATTATGTTACTCTGAAAATGGAAGAAAATACAAGTATTATTCTCTTTATGGTCAGCCAGAAGAAGAAATGGATGATCAGGATCAAGAAAGTAATAGTAAACTATGGTTTACTGTTCCCTCTCAAATAGTCTAATGATTTGCTGAAGAGAAATATTACTAATCAGAATCAAGCTGATACAGTTCTTCCAGAGAGACATATTACATAAAACAGCTGACATTACAACATGGAACAATCTTAGTGAATATATTATTAAACCAAAGATTAGCATGAATCAAGCCACATGATGTGTATGTGTCTGTGTCTGCTTTAGAACTGTACTGCCTAGGAAATACTATTGGAAGACACTGCACACAATTTGCTGTATACAATAACATTACAAAATAAAAGTTTCATGCACTATTCTTTTTTCTAGGTAATTTCTCACAATCTGAATCAACTGCATATCTAACAGATGAACAGGGGTATTCAGAACTAAAATCCAAGATTTTGTTCTAACTGAAAATATGCATGCTTTCTCTGTAAGTTAGGAAACAAGGTATCTTAATACAGCTTTATATACTCTAACTGTCTAGTAACCATAAATATTGATATGATTTTTATTTGTGCCAGTGAGGTTTATTACAATAGTTTTCTCTATAGATATTCAGAAATAGTTCAAGTATTATATATCAGGATTTACCAATGTTTAGGTACATCAACACAACATAAACAGAAACT